TCCGTTTCGCAGGAGCTGGACCGTCTTCGACAATGTCATTATTATCGACCTCTGTGTTGACAATTAGCCTGCGTTTGCCAGATATGTCATTGGGGTCGTCGAATTCGTTAGCAGATCCGGTAAAGAGCCGGGAAAAAGGTGCGGCCACAAAATTTTTGATGCTCCCCAGCAGAGATGAATTTGAGCGAACTAGACCTTGTCGCTGAGAGTGAGCGTGTCTACGACGGTCTAAATTGCTCGAATTGGACATTGGAATCATCTTCAAGCTGGAGAGTGTCAGGTCACTTCACGAGCAAGTGAGAGTTGCGAACAAAACTGCTCTCGTCGTGTCACGGGCGACGTCACAGCCACATGACCTTGACTCATTTTCGCGGCTTCAGGCGCTACGACGATTTACTACCTTGTCCTTAAACCATGTCGTACAAACGGCCTGCTGAAGGCGAGTTACGTTGACTCACTTTCAGAAATCTCGAATCTATCTTGCTTCTAGGCTATTCACGATCCCAGCCTTCAAAACGGCCAAGGAGGGACGAGGATGAATACATGGAGATTCAAGACGAAGACGATGTAATCCCCCCTTCACCGCCCGAAGACAATTCTCTTGTCCCAAAGAGTGCCACTATAAACTTCAGTGCACTTACTCGCAAACTTGCTGAAGCCAAACGCACTGAAGATTTCAATGCACCCGATATGTCAGCCTTGGAAATACATCGAATGCACCAGAGCAAACTTGTATCCCACATATTCATGGACCAGGACTTCTCCTTTATGCATCTCAAACCAGACCACGCTTCTCGTCCATTATGGATCAGTCCAGAAGATGGCCTTATCATCCTGGAAGCTTTTTCGCCCATTGCTGAGCAAGCTCAAGATTTTCTGACAGCGATTAGCGAACCTGTCAGCAGGTGCGTATGAGCCTTGCCTCCCATCTACTCTTTGTACATATCCTGCTTTGCAGACCAGCCTTCATTCACGAATACAAACTTACCTCTTATTCTTTGTACGCCGCTGTATCCGTTGGACTTCAGACGGAGGATATAATCGAAGTCCGTGTGCTTTGCACTTTGCTCACTTATTCATGCTAACCCATTACTAAGGTTCTCAACCGCTTGTCAAAGGTATGTTGAACTTGAGCGCTTCTGAATAAACACTTGAGATCTCCACAAGGTCCCCGTCCCTGAGCCCATCATTTCGCATATACGAAAATGTACTGAGACCTATGGCAAAGTTAAGCTCGTTTTGAAGCATAACAAATACTTTGTCGAATCTAGCCATCCCGAACTGTTACAAAAGCTTCTTCGAGATCCGACAATCCAGGACGCACGTGTGATATCTATCCAGGCCGATAACAGCATCAAGGGAAATACATTTACTACATCCAAAGCACCAGCGAAAGGCAACCTTATTATTCCTGGGACGAGTAAAGAAGGAGACAAAGGTAGCGATGTTGCGAAGGGAAGGAATAACGATGCAGATTTGTTTACATCTGTCGTCGGCGTTGAAGGCGGTGTGTCCCTTATCTTCTGCTCTCCTCGTCGATCGATCTCGAACCGTCTTTATCCAGATGAAATCGAAGAAGATGATGATAATGTCCACTCATTCGAAATCAACGACGCCAAAATAGATGTAAGCATGCACTTTTACAAAGTTGCTAACTGCCATAAACTTAGTTTTCTAGGACGTCAAGAAAAGGTGCAATGAACTCAATTGTCCCATGCTGGAGGAGTATGACTTCCGAAATGACACGGTCAATGCAAATCTCGATATCGACTTGAAGCCTGCCACCGTAATCCGACCTTATCAAGAGACAAGCTTAAGCAAGATGTTTGGGAATGGGTATCTAAGTTCCATTTTCCTTCACAATCTTCACGCTTAATGCTCATATAGTCGTGCTCGGTCTGGCATTATCGTTCTTCCTTGCGGCGCAGGAAAAACTCTCGTCGGGATTACTGCCGCCTGCACTATCAAGAAATCTTGTCTGGTCCTCTGCACATCATCGTAAGCGCCTGTAGCTCATACTCTCCTCGCCTTTTCTCACTCTGCCCCTTCAGAGTGTCGGTTTACCAATGGAGAGCGCAGTTTCTCCAATGGTCCAACATCACCGATCGACAAATAGCTGTTTTCACTGCAGACCAGAAAGAAAAGGTAGTCGTATTTGTAATTGCTTCCGTATCAAAGGTTCCAACCTACTGTTACAGTTCGCCGGAGACAGTGGTATTGTGGTCTCAACTTATTCCATGGTCGCCAACACCCACAACCGATCACACGAGTCGAAAAAGATGATGGAGTTTCTGACCTCCCGCGAATGGGGTTTTCTGCTGCTAGATGAAGTCCATGTTGTACCAGCTGCTATGTTTCGTCGAGTCGTGACCACTATCAAGGCACATTCGAAGCTTGGTCTCACGGGTAAATGCAATGAGATTCTAAGTGTTGCCTCTCCACTAAATGAATCGTTTCAGCCACACTAGTCCGAGAGGATGACAAGATTGCTGACTTGAACTACATGATCGGACCTAAACTCTACGAAGCAAACTGGATGTATGTTGGACTTCTGTTATCACAAGTCTTCTTAATAAATTTTTTTAGGGACCTTGCTGCGAAAGGCCACATTGCCAATGTTCAGGTACACTTGAAGATGATTGTGATCCTTGCCATAGAGCTCATTCGCTGATCACTAGTGCGCTGAAGTGTGGTGCAGCATGACACCGGAATTTTATCATGAATATCTGCGCGAACAGTCCCGCAAACGTGCATTACTGTACTGCATGAATCCAAATAAGTTCCAAGCATGCCAGTATCTGATCAATTATCATGAAGAGCGTGGGGACAAAATCATCGTGTTCTCGGATAACGTGTTTGCTTTGGAGGTGCGCCTTCGAACTAAAGGAAAAGCAAGCTCCTGCTAATGCTGACTGCAGGCCTACGCCAAGAAGCTTGGGAAGCCCTACATCCACGGAGGGACTGGTCAGACAGAGCGAATGCGGGTCTTGCAACACTTTCAACATGACCCAGCAGTCAGCACCATCTTTCTGTCAAAAGTGAAGTCAAAATGATTGGAAAGCTACCCAATTTCTGAGATCTTCTTACTAGGTCGGAGACACGTCAATCGATTTACCAGAAGCGACATGTCTCATTCAAATATCGTCGCATTTTGGATCTCGGCGGCAAGAAGCGCAGCGTTTAGGTCGCATTCTCCGAGCCAAACGTCGAAACGACGAAGGTTTTAATGCCTTCTTCTACTCTCTCGTTTCCAAAGATACGCAAGAGATGTTTTACTCCACTAAACGCCAACAATTCCTAATCGACCAAGGTTACGCCTTCAAAGTCATCACTAGTCTCGATGGTCAGCAGGATTTTCCAAACCTCGTCTATCGTACCCGCGAGGAGCAAATTGAGCTATTACAGTCAGTTCTTATTGCCAACGAAGCAGACGCAGAGCCTGGTTCGGACGTCCGTGCTTCTGAAGGAGATCTGGCCGGCACCATCACGTCCAAGGACTTTGGACCTACCAGGTTTCCTGCGGCTCAGAGAACGACAAGCTCATTAACATCCTTGAGCGGGGCGCAGCACATGTCGTATATCGAGCAGAACAAGTCGATGAACAAGACATTGGCTAAATCTGCAGCAGGTTCTATAAACAGACATAAGCTGTTCCAGAAGAGAGACAAGGAAAAGATAGCCGCTCGGAAGGAGGCCAAGAAGACAGCTCAGTGAAATGAATAGATGACTTCTCATGAGCCACGCATGTGTTGTATTTTATCACCTTATTACTTCTATTGCATATTATATGACAGTAATTTCACCGTGTATGTAACACGTTAGTGCGAATGCTAGCAAAGCTAGGAATAGATTGATTGTCTTCTACACGATCAACTCGCCTTCTACACTCTCTGGTTCCAACCCAAGCTGCTCAAGCAGGATTTCGTAGCGCTCAACGCTCTTCCTTTTGAGATATTTGAGTATTTTTGCCCTGTGGTGCACAAGTTTTCTCAAACCAAGGCGATTTCCTAAATCCCTAGGAAATTTCACCAAGTGATTTCCCAGATTTCGGATTCGATAGGTTAGAATGGCAGCTGAGCACGAGGCAAAGGAGTTTTCAGGATCTTTTGAGCTCGATAATAAACGAATCTTACCTTGAACCTCCGTACGCCCAGGGTCAAACGCATTATCCGAGCGCGAAAAGGCCACAATTATTCTTCGCTTGTTTTCATACGAAATCCCATCCGCATTCGCGTTCCTCAAATCAACAACCTTGGCAAAAGTATTTGCCTTTATTCTCTCTCTCTCCGTAGTCTGCTCCAGCAGTTTTCTAAACCTTTCCCCGTCGCCGTGCGTATTCAATACCCCGCTCTGCGCAGATAGCTCTGGAAGCTGTCGGAAAAGTTTCTCCGCGTCCGTATCCGTGACTCCGAAGCCCATTTGCGAAGGCAAATGTACCGTTCCGACAGGAAGATTTATGGGAGTCATCGTTGGAGGACCAGCCAGTTCGGCCTCGTTAACAAGGATCTTGGCCAAGTAACATTGGTCCCATTTGTGTTCTTCGCCCTTGCGCGTACCAAAGACTGGATCTGGACGGTTTGCATTGATTCTTCTCCATTTTTCGGCTTTGATTTCAGCCTTGGCTTTGTGCGTAAGTGGTTTTGAGTTGGAGCGTCCTGCCACAGCGGAAGAATGGAAGAAAGAGTGTGATGATACTGAAGACGCGACGCTCCGAGAGCCTAAATTCCAAGTCGCGTAAGAATATAGAGCGAATAATGGAAATGATAGCTCCTACTTTTGGTCAGGGAAGCCCTGAACATGCTGGGCTTGAAGCTTGAAGGACCTGATGTTAAGCGCCGTTTGCAGAGCTGTGACGCCCGTGACGCGTGACTAGCAAACGTTTATTTTATTAACAACCTAAGTTGTGAAATATTCGCGATTGGCCGTGTAGTAGTACGTGTTAAAAAAACCACAACATTGGGGAAATACTATTGTACTACTATCTACACAAGCGAAGAACAAGGTCTAACCAGGACTCGAACCTGGGTTATGGGAATTCAATAATCACCTCAAAATCCCATGTGCTAACCTCTACACTATTAGACCAATATTTTCTGATCTTAATTTACTGCATCAGATTGTGCACCACTCTGAAATGCTCAGGAAGTGCCCTATACCTCTACTTAGTATATGTTGTTAACATTCCAATTACTATTCTCGATTATGATGCAACTTTTGCACGAAAGCAACCACTACTTCCTTCCTATGTCTTGGAATCTGTCGTCAATCTTTGGATCCACCACTAACAGGTCTGAATCGTTGATGATTTGCCTCGGTGGTGGTTCTGACTTCGAAGAGGTCCTCATGTACTTCCCGTCATGAGCATCTACGGAACTCATATTCTCTGTCGCCGCAACGCTGAGGTGATCCTGATAATGAGCCCTCGATCGGACCCACTTCATGGCTAAATCCACAGCGTGCTTCCATTGCGTCGCAATCTCAGGATGACCCTTGGAATGGTGCTCTCTGTGGGCTTTTTCACGACGAATTGCCCTCTTCGTGTTTTCGCAAAGATCCTCTGTGGAAGGATGTTCGACCGAGCGTACAAGCTTATTCACGTATTGTGATCCTGTAACAGGCATGAATCTATTCTAGCGAAGGTGTCAGGAGAAAGAGGTTCAAACACTTACCTAGCAGGTATTTCCTTACGATAGTGCTCATTGGCTGCCCGCTTTCATCATCCACTAGATACCTTCGTCCCTGAAGCGCGGTGAAGCCGTCGTGGCCCTGCACCATGTACTCCCTGGTCACAATCTTGTACTGCTTACCACCTTTGACGCGTAGGATGGGTTCAGAGTCAGCTACCAGAGGAGTGGAATACCCGCTCTGGTCCTTTGGTGCAATCTCCTTTGTAAGCCATATTCCGGTAATTCGACTGCCAGGCTTCTTGCGAGAATCCCAAGCGACTCGCATACCGGATACGATTGGAAAGCGTCTAAATCGATGCTAGATCATTGACATGTTGCCTGACTGTGACGAGATGTATTACTTACCCTTCTTGAGCAGGCCAAGTTATAAGACCGGATTCGATAGCATCCCATATTCCGTTACCATCTAATTCTATTACGACCAAAGGATCATCGAATGGCAAGATCTCTAAGATGTCCCCTAAGCTGATGTTTCCTGTGTGCGGGTTAGTCTTCTAGGCTGATGGGCATAACGACCTTATTATGATACCTGGTCCATACTCAGAGTCTCCTCGAAGTGTGCCGGCACAGATGAGGACTGCGTCAGAACCACCGTTTTCTTTAAGCGTCTCGCAGTCATCGTATGCGTGACGAATGATATCTGCAAACCAGTTTCCTGCGGCAGACTGACTAAAGATGACGAGAGAAGGAGTGAAATTCGAGAGAATCATACTTCTTGGGTTCGAATAAGGTGCGACCTTAGGTCGAGAGTGCCTAACGACTTGCAAACGGGTGCCTCGAGTGATTTTGATACCGAAGAGAGCAAATCTCTAAGCATCTCTTTCAACTCTGCAGACGATTTGGAACCAGGTAGAGTTTTCATGCGCCGACCTACGCAAGATATGCTGAAGTGATTTCGAAGCTTCAGCATCAAACTGGTATCACACTCACCCGTGATCCCCTGGATTACTTTTTTTCTTACACTTCCTCCGGGCGTAGATTCGAGCGTTAAAGTAAAGTCACTCAGGTCGCGAAAATCAGTACCACTTTTAATGACCAGGATGTCGCCGTAGTCTCGCTCCGCACCTAGCGATGGTTGGTTTATATCATAGCCCTCCCACGAAGTCACCCCTTTGCTGATGAAGTAAATGTGGTCGTGGCCTCCGAGTAGTATGTCTACCCCATGAAGCGATGCGAGTGGCTGGTCCTTCTGAGCCGAGGGTGAGAGGGCAAACAGATCCTTGGCTAAGGCCACGTCCTACTTATACCGATAAGCCCTCACAAAAGCAGAAAAGACCAATGCCTCGTACATTGGGAACCCTAAAGGGTCAGTCAGTAGGACGTTCTGCGTGCAAGGGATACATATCATACCTGCAATGGGTCAAGGCGATTATGATATCACATTTTTCACCATGTGGATCCCGCAGATGCTTTGAAAGCTCAATCCCAGTTTCCTTCATGTCCTTGTACACAAAATTGCGAGGCCACGCGGCAACCGTGGTGATCCATTCCCTACATATCCGGAGACATGAGTGTTTTGCATTTCTCCAGCGCCAAATCGCGAAATAGAAACAGACTTTTCGACAAGCCCGATTACCCCAATACGTGTTCCCGCTCGCTCGAGAACATGAAACTCTTTCAAAGCTGAAGGTACTTTAGAAGTTTCGGTGTCAATGATGTTACTTAAGAGCCATGGCTGATATATGTTACATTCAGCTAGATCATTAGCATCAGCTCGGAAAACTTACGAACGTGCAGTCCTTGATCAGTTCAGTAAGGTGAGGATATCCTTCGGTTTGTCAGAAGGCTTCTAGCGCAAGAAGGCCGATTCTCACCGAAGTCCAGGTCATGATTCCCGGTGAGCGCTACATCTATCCCCAGAAAGTTCATGACGGGCACCTATACCGATGTTTAACAGGACACATAGTTAAGACGGGTCATTGGCGGACCATATGTGAGCCTCTGGTCACGGAGCTCTCGACCGATGGACTGAAAACTATAGTCTCTTAATCTTGTTACTCATAGAAGAGATATCGACACGAACCATCTCCCGAGAACAAGACCAACCCATCTCCAGACCAGCTCTTCCGAATATCCTTTAATTCCGCAGCAAACTGGGTGACATCGATAGTGTCTGGGGACCGCGAAGAAAGTTTCTGAGGTCCAACGCGATATACATCATTAAAATGAGCAATGTGCAAGGATGTCGTGTGCGACATGGCCGAAGGAATGCAAGTAGGGCTTTTTCTACAAAAGGAAAGGCTATTACCGTTTACGCGCTTTTAGGTCGAAACCTTTTTTTGCTTTGAACATAGTTCATTACATACTGTAAATACCAAGCAAATGATACAAGGGTAGTATAGAATCGCTCTCAGTTTCCTCCTCCCTGTAAATCAAGTTTTGCATTATGTACCTCCAAACGTTCCATTACAGCTCGGTGAAGGCTGGAATTTCTGCCCTTGATTTGCGTTGTAGAGGATACAGAAGGAGCATCAAGTTTTGGCTGTTGGCGACTGAGATTAGGAGGTACGATTATTGGAGTCTGCTTTGGAGGAGGAGGCCACTGTAAGACGATCGAATATCAATTCTAGCATGCGAGACGCGAAAGAGAAAAGAACAAACATTTCTGTGTGACTGGTTAAAGTGAATGGCAGCCCATGGCGGATAGTCTTTCTCTAACCGCATGATGTGCTCTTCGAGGAAGCGTAACCGGTCGAGTAGATTCTGAGGAGCATAGGGAACTGTCCGTTTCGTTTTGAGATCCTGTTCAGCGAGATAAGTCACTGACGTACCATATCTGACCGCGAAATGACTCTCAATATTCTTGATCCGTTCGTCGAGACCAGGATGGCGGTCTGAAGAAAGCTCATTTACTACAACCGACTTTCCCTGTTGACCCTCTTTCTGACTTGCAGACGCCTTGGCTTTACCCTTGGCCGCAGAATTAGCGGGGGTGGTTTCTAAAGCTGCCGCAGAAAGACCACGATTTCGCATCGTCCGACGAAGAGGACCATCTTCGTTTTTAGCGATATCGTACTTTATTTGAACGTTCCTGTCGATGATCTTGGCATCAGTTCGAGCACAAGAGGATGACGGATCAACTATAGAAGGACTAGATGGGTTGGCAGCGCCTTGAACTCGCTCCTTCTCCAACGAGCGTAGAAATTCCGCGCGATTCGAAGCTACGTTGTTTGCACGTTTCTGAGCCAGGAAGTTTGAGATGGATTTGGTGAGCTAGAAAGTTTGAATGAGAAGATACGCTATTGAGATGGTACGGGGCGTACGTACAGTGGTTGGCGTTTTGGACTGGGAGCCGTGTGATAGATGAAGATTGTCAAGTTTACGTTCCTCGAGAGGACGGTCGTCGAGCTGACCTTGTTTGATTTTCTAGCAGGTGGATCGATACCAATGTCCAAAGAAACTTCGCGTAGCGCACCTGTATATTGTTTGCCAGTTCTTGCAACGCGCCAGGGACATTTTGCTTTTCCCAATCAGAATTCAGTACGAGCATGTCTAGCTCTAGCCCCCGTAGGGCTCGAGTTAGACCTACGCTCTCTAGGAATATTATGAGAGCTTGATCCCAGTTTTTACACGGTTCTGCAGGGGAGGGTTCTGGACTAGAAGCCTTTGTTCTTGGGGCCTCGAGATTTTGAGCGAAATTTACCGAAGGTGTTTTACTACTTGAAGCAATGGTACCAGACGGAGTTTTAGCATGCGTGTACAAGTACTGCTGCTGAGGATAAGGAGTGATATTCTGAGAAGAAGTATAAGGATATGCAGCCATTGTCCATCTTGCCGCATATTGATTAGGTAGCGTACTGGCAATGGGACCTGCTATGGAACTGGACGCTACAGGCTGAGTCGGATAATATGAAGGCAAAGGCACTGGCGCTGGCGTTGGTGCAGGACGTTGGACATTCGGGACTGGTGTTGTATTTTGGGATGACTGTTTGTCATTGGAAGCCATCAAAAATATCACATTCTCTTCTTCTCTACTTCCATCATCATCATGGATCATGGCGGCCATGGCGGTCACAGCGGCCACGATATGCCAATGGACCAGTGTTCAATGAATATGCTCTGGTAATTCTACCTCTGAAAGGTACTGCGAACGGGAATTAAATAGTCTTCTCGGTAGGAACACACAGATTGTTGACACTTGCATCGTCTTCCGCAGCTGGCATATCAGCTCAAATACTGCGTTTTTCTTCTCTTGCATCGCTATCATCGCCCTTGGAATCTTCTACGAATATCTGCGGGTTCTACAAAAGGCTCTTGATACTCGGATCGCTCTGGCTTTGACCAAAGATAATCGCAGCAGGTCTCGCAGCAGAAGTTCCAGTCGCAGAAATTCACCTGATATTACTCTCGAAAGTGAGGGTCTGCTGTCGGGTAAAATATTCAATGCTGGCGCAACTG